TTATTCTGAAAAGCATCTCCTTCAGAGCCTTCGTTCTGAAAAACATTCTCCTCCAGAGGTTTATTCTGAAAAGCATTCCCCCAGAGACTGAATTCTAGCAAGCATTTCCTTCAAAGGTTTATTCTGAAAAGCATCTCCTTCAGGGCTTTGTTCTGAAAAGCATCTCCTTCAGAAGTTTGTTATGGAAAGCATTCCCCCCAAAGACTGAATTATGCCAAGCATTTTCCTTCTAAAAAACATTCTTCAGATACAGTCAGGCGTATACTCATTCTGATACTCCTATCAACGGTTACCTTGGGTGGCATCTATAAGCCCATCTCCAGCAACACTCTGTCACCTCTTCGAATGGCATCTTTAAGCCTATTCAAAAAGTATAATCAACCAACAATGTCACTTTGTGCACATGTGAGTGCAAATTTCTGGGCAATTAAGTGTTCAATCCTCTTCCACCTTTAGATCACGAATGGCGGACATGCCAATCTAATTCTTCAGGTTTAAGAAGATTGAATAGGGAATATATTGTACCACAAAATTTTACCTCCCATTTTTGAAGATAATTGATTCAATACACCTTCTCATGCTCCTAGGATTCTCAATTACTCAACAATACTCAAGGGTTTAAGCATACAAGCACCTCTCCTAAGCAATAACCTACAATTAGGGTTTTGGTTTTATCAAAGAAAATTGAGCTTCTAATGCCTCAAGTGAGTTTCATGGTTCCTGATATGCTTCAAAGAATCCTCATGTCATATTTCAAGAATTGCATCACAAGTTTGCTCAGTCAATTGCTCAGATGAGTGAAAGTCAACTTTATTGAACAAAAAGTTAATTATGGTCAACATACAGTCAAACTTCAAGATTTTTGGTCAACATCAAGATTTTGAGGTCACATTAATCATTTGATCAAGGGTTGATCATGATTCCTCAAGAAAACTCAAGATTCATCAAAAGTCAAAAGTCACTAAATTAGGGTTTTCTTAAGGAGAAGTCAACTGAACTTTGACCAAGCATAACTTTTATATGCTTCATCATAAAATTCTCAACAAAAACCTATCTTTAAGGAAATTCAATTATCTACGACTTTATCTCTCTAAGCTCAAGTCTAAAAAATGCTTCATTTGAGAGATATGAGCAAAGACATTACAAGTCATTTTGAAAGTCAACAAAAAGTCATCTTTTGTCAAAGAAATTTACATCAAGATAAATACTTCAAATGAAAACATGACCAGTATGAAAGATGTAGAGGACATCTTGAGCTTTCCAAAAAGTCTAAGATCACATTCATATGATAAAAATTGAGTGAGATATGATTGATGCAAGTTGAGAAATTTTTGAGAAATGCATGAAACCTCAATTGAGCAATTTTGAAATTTTGGACTAGTGGACCTATCTTCTAATGTCTAAACATGTTCATGACCTTATAGAGGACTTCTAAACTCATTCATACCTTACCATTTTTTATTTATTTATATTTATTTTAATTTTTATTCAATTAAATACAAAATAAATAAAATTAAATAACAAATGATGGACCAAGGCATGTGGGTTTGGTTTTGGATCAAATTTGAGGCCCAAGAACACATATCCAACTTGCCAAAATCGTGGGAGGAAAGATTGGGACATAATCTTCTCAAAATGGAATGTTTTAAAACCTGTTTTTTTTTGTGTTTTGGCAAGACATTGAATACTTAGTCTTTTCCTCTTTTGTCTTGATCTATTTTCTTCCTCTATAAATACACACAACATCAATGAACAAGACCATGAATTGCTACCTCAAGAGCAAGCTACAAGAATCACAAAAAATTATCAAGAACTAGGGAAAGCGTGAAACCCTATTTGCAGCCTCTCCTTAGCAATTCCAAGCATTCCATTACACTCCTGAAAATCCCAGGAGTCGTTTCCAGTCTTTCAACAAGCTTGAGACATCCCGGAACGTGCTCTCTCAAGAACACCGGTTGGGTAACTTTTTCAAAATCCTAAACTTCTATTTTATGCATTGTTAACTAATCTTGTGTGTTCTTGTATGTTTGTGATGATGTTTAGAACAGGTCGCGACCATTACATAGAGTTTATAATGTCCAAATCCTGGTTGGCCATTGATGAACCGATTCCCATCACATGCATTTTTTAGTCCCACTTATTTCCAACTTTCATTCTTTACATTTTCTTACTCATTTAATTAAATTCTATTAAATTAAAAAACTCATAAAAAATATAATAAAATCAGATTTAGACTTTTAATATGTTAACTTAATTTTTGACAATATTTTTCTTAATTAATTAATTAGACATAGGTTTTTTTAATTAAGTGTTTAATTTAGGTTTAAAATCTATTTATTTTATCATTCAAATCAAACCAAAAAACACACAAAAAATAATTTCTAACATTTTAGATATTAGGATATTAAAAATAATTTACTAACATTTTATTTTATTTTGCTATTTGTTTTATTAGACAAATTGTATAGGATGTACAAATTTTTGTAATAGCTTAGTGTTTAAATTCCCGCAAAGTTGTAAATATTTTAATTCTTCCGAAGCCATGTAATAGTTGCAGGCCTTTACTTTCTCGCATTTTATTTTCTCGCACTTAAACTTTGTATGCCTTGTATGTATAAATAACTGTTACTTAATAGGATTGTATGGCAAGATAATAATCGAATGTTAGAAAACCCTAAATTCAAGACTAAATAACCGAATCAACACACTTGCACACTTGCACACTTGCACACTTGCACACTTGCACCTCTAGGGTAACCTCCCTTTGTTGCCTTCGGAAAAACAACAGTCATGTCCCTCGAACGTAGAGATGCTTTAGCAAAGACCCTCAAATAAAAGATTATAGTCCCTCGATGAGCCTTCAATGTTTCCTTTCAAAAAATGATTTAGTCCCTTACGAAATTGCTAAAGCATCCATATAAGTTGCCTTCAAAGACCGTACGATGATCCTTTGCATGTTCCTTCACATCCAATGGATGAGGCTACCTACCAACTAATGGTACGAATAACACTATCTCAAAATGAGAAGGAAAAAGTACAAGAACAACTTTTAGTGGGTAGAACTGTTAATCGCTTGCTCACACTTTTCAAAACAAAAGCATCTCACACAAACACTTCCAAAGATATTTTAAAAATGCTTCGTACACATTCTTGAGGACCGATACAAGAATCATTACAAAGTTTCGCCTTACATTGGCACTTTCAAAAATATTTTTCAAACACACACACAAAAAGTAAATTTTCAAAGTGAGCTAAGCGATTAAGAGCCCGTAGATAACTACGGATGAAAAGGATGCTAACACCTTCTCTTTTCATAATCTACCCCCCGAACTCAAATCTTAGAAAAGGTCTGTCCTGTTCTTTTCACTTTTTCCTTCATGGATAAAAGAAAAGTCGGTGGCGACTCTTGCTAACCGCAACATTTACGATAAACACAAAACAAGTCAGTTCTCCCACCGTATTACAGGTGCATGCAACCGTTTGGCTTTGTTTAGATGATACCCAGATCTTCGTGTCAGGTTGCTCCTGACACCGTTATCCGCTGAGATCTCGATGATATCTTTCAGGATTGGGAGAGTCATTTGGTTTCACAGAAGTATGGAATGATGTCAACATCCTAGAGTTGACATTATATAGAGGGATGTGTGACATGATTCTTTAACGTGTCACACTTTATCATGATATCGAATGGTCCAGGATGTCCACCTAGGTCATCTCATTAGGAGCTCTTGGAGAATCGGCAGACCAAGGATGACCATGTTACTGATCTCTTTCCGATCTGTCAACGAAAAAAATTCTTAGGCATGAGGCATTGGATTCTGGGATCATTGAGAGGGGTGGTCCTGACACGGTTGTCATCGTTGTGAGGATGGTTAAGGAGGCATCTAGTGCGGTGCAATATAGGAGGCAGATGAGGTCACAGGGGATTAGCATTAGGCATACGCAATAGCAGTAGTCTATGTTATGTTTTATTTTTTATCTACTGATGTGATGTTTTGACTTTACACATTTTCTAACAACTTATGTATTATATAATGTTTCCGTATTTCTGATCATTTAATCTAATAGTTAAGTTCGTTTCATTTTTCGTCCAAATCGTATCATTTTATGTTTGCCCATTTATCCGTTTATTAGGTAACGGTAATGATGATGTATTAAACAAAAACGACACAAACTAACAATGTTTTGGATATGCATATCTAAAACATCATTCACAGGGTAGTTTCGGATATGCATATTCAAAACTATCTCTAAAATTTTAAATCCAACGTTTAAGTATTAAAACGTAGAAAAAGGGTGACTTCGAATGTGCATATCTGAAATATTTAAAATCACAAATTAAAAGTTACAAACTCAAAAACTACTTCAAATAACTTTTGAAAAAAAATAAAAAATAAATAAAAATACTACAAACTAAAAACTAAAAGAGAGTTATCAAACAGAACCTTTTTATTAATATGAGTTGAAAAACTAAAAACTAAAAATTAAAAACTCTTTTTTAGCTTTTTACCGAATAGAATCTAAAGTGTCACTTGAAATTGAAAGAATTATAGATTTAGCCTAATGTTGTTTATACAATAGCAAATCAAACGAGTATAGACACAAAAAAAAAAAAAAACATAAGTCAGCCAAATATTTATCAAATTTATTGGAGTATATCTAAATCACCAATATTGTATACTCAAGTCAAAACACATAAAAAATATACCATTAGACATATGATCTTTGTCTATAGTGCCCTTAAATTGAAGTGGACAAAGATTGTGCAGTCAGGTCCCAAAACCATACACACATAATGATAAGTTCAATAGAACGTTGCTGAAAACCAAAAGATATGAAGTCGAATGTGGGAAATCATGTATCAGAAAACCTTATAAAAATAAACTTCACATTCTATTATTCATGTCGAGTGACGTACACTAGATAGAAGAACTATACAAAGTATGTTGTAACAAAAAGGAATAGATAAATTGACTATGGTTAACTAACACTAAAAAAATTCACTGCCTATGTTGTGAAGAGCAAGAATCTGCATTTTCTTGAACAAGCACAAGGTTGTCGATTTCTTTGTCACAATTAGACAAAACCGTAGGAGTAGCCAAGAATGTTGGTTTCTCATTGCCAGCCATAATGACTAGGATTTTCTCCTCGTAGGCCTTGATAGGTTGTTTAGTTTGAGGGTGACTCTCTTTGTTGTCCAAGTCATCATCTTGGTTGTTACTACAATAAGAGCAAGCTAGTGCCAATAACGCCAATGCCATGAGACCCATAATGGCAGCTAATCCTCCAAAGAGATATGGGATTGGAGTGTGCCATAAAGAACTTGTGTTGGGGTGTGTGTTTAGCATTGCGGGAGGTATGCTTCTCATTTCAGGAGTAGTAGAATGGAGAGGAGAGAGTATGGTAAGAGATGTGAGCTTGAGAAACAAGAAATGGAGAAGTATGGGATTTATAATAGCCACCATTCATAAGAGAGAACTTTGATTTGTAACTGTAGCCAACTTGTTAAATAAATTTGATTATTTACTAATTGATTATGACTTTTTCACATTGCACAACTTTATTAGCTGGAAATATTCTATCGTTTCGTTTCTTCATACATAATTTAAGAATATTGTGTCGATAGTGTAAATGTGCTCGTAGCATAAGAGTAAATTGGGATCTGAGAGAATGAGAGTGCAAATGTTTGATATGTCTCCAACTCAACAAGACAAGATGATATCATGAGACAATTGTATTGTCAAGAGTGGGGATCACAAAATAAAGTTGATATATAATCATAATAATTGTTTGAGAATATGTAATGGACAAGCATGAATGAGGCAATGTCAATATTCTTTAACCTTTTTCATCACTACAAGCACTTCACCTGGAAATAAAGAAGAAGAAAAAAGGTAATAAAGAAAGAGACGTTTATATACATTAGGAGAGCCGGACCGGGTTCTTGGGCCCCACCCAAGGCCACAGTGATTTTTTTTTTCTTTAAACAAAACAAAATTAACTTCTTTCATTATAAAGGAAAAGATCAATATAAGAAGGAACGAGATGTATGAAATTAGGTCTAATCTAAAAATTGGTCGTCTTTGTTAAAAAATGAATAATCATATTCGATTGACGTTTTATAAACTCTATTTCAAAATTATTTGTGAAAACGACTTAGTTTTAAGACAGTTATACCATTCAACTTAATGGTTCCACAAGAAAAATCTTGAGATTGGAGAAAAATTGTTAAATAAGGATAGAATTATATTTTAGTTAAATGTTAAATCAAATGTTAAATCAATTTTTGTCAGGACTCTCTTCCTTGATCCTAAATAGGTGAATTTAGTGTCACTTGAAAGATGGAGTTTTTTTTTTCTGTCTCTTCAGTTTATTTTTCCTCCTTTAGAGCGTTATGTTTAGTATTGTTTCTATCGTTATGGAAATTTTGATTCTTCCTCTTCTTTAGAATAGTTGTGTTTGCTCTAAAATGGTTATTTCTTCTAGAAAATTATTCAAGAGAAAATCTCTACTTAAGTTACCTATTTAGGTGTGTTGTGTTGGTGGACCCTGGGAGAGTGCTTTGTCCAATGTATGGGAGGGAGAAGGGGTTGTTACCTATTTGTTTGTGTCTTGCGACCTTGTAGTGTATGGGGTGGAGTTTTGTTCTTTCTATGGATTTTAGTTCTACTTTCTTAGTTATTAAACTTTTAGGTGCTAAGTTTAGGGGTGGCTTGGCTATGATTTGATATTCATTAATTTGATCGAATTTCAAATTCCGATATGATATACTTTTAAGACTCCTCTATCATACTGAAGGATGTGAAAGATAAAAGTGTATTCCATACTTGAAAATGACATTTTTGTAGGCAAAGAGGAAACTCTTGCGTTTTCTCGGTTTAATTTGAAAACCCTATTTTCTTTGTCTGACCTGATAGAGGGGAAAACGTCTCTTACCTTGTATTTATGAGTTATCGGTGCTATCAATGGCGGTAGATTTTTTATTGATGGTGGTTTCACTCGACTGAGATCTAGTATGTCTTATCTTGGTGGGATTTTTTTTATTTTCTTTTCTTTTTTTGGTGATATATTGTGTTTAAGGGCGGCTATTTTTCCTTTATTTCTATTTTATTTATTTTTTAATGTTGTTTGTTTTTTCTCTTGTTAGATTTGTGTTTAGGTGGTTCTTATACTTATTCGAATATTCAATTTTATTTTTCGATTTGACAGTCGTGGTTTATATATATATATATATATATATATATATATATATATATATATATATATATAATTCTATTTGCCTTTAAAAAATAAATAAAATAGTAATCATCAATCAACACAAAGAGAGTGAGAGATGTCAAGATTATTAACAAAAGCTTCTATAAAAGATTATTTAAAACTCTAAATTTCACCAAAAGAAGAGAGGTGAGGGAATCCTTTATAAGTATTATCAATGTTATACTTAATCCAACATAGAATTTTTTAAGTTGAACTTATATAAATTAATTCTGTCAATTTTCTTTTTAGTTTGTCTATTATTGATTGTTTGTGAGAAGAATTTTTAAAAGAATTATTTTTTGAAAACTCAATTTACTCCTCCCCAGTTTTTTGTATTTTTCTCAACTTCCAAATCTTTCAATAAGATTATTAAATATATCTTTCAAACCTAGATTATAAAATAAAAAAGAAAACTTATAGAAAAATAAAAGATTATGAAAATAAAAAAGAAAATATAAAGAGAAATAGAGTTTTTGTTAGACAAAATACGCTCATACACTGATAAAAGTTGGTGACTCACTCTATCCTCTTAAATATCATTATAAAATTAATAAATATTTAATCATAAATATGAATTAAAATATCATTATAACGCAAAATAAATTATACCTTAAATAATTTCAATATGAATAAAATAATAACCGTCATAATTAAATATTTCAATTAAAAAAAATTTATCAATACAAACTTTATTTAATTAAATTTATACTAATATGTTGTGTAATTTAGAATTAAATTTATTTAATTAAGTAGTTAGTTTGAAATAATTTCTTAAAATTTTTCATCTTTTTAATTTTTATTTTTTAATCAATATAAACTTTGATTAATTCACCCCTCCTTTAATTTTGTTTTAACTATATATATATTCTTTCATTTTTAATAATTCTAATTTAAATTATTTTACCTATTTTATTTTATTTTATCTGCGGCTCTATATATTCTTATTCTTAACATTCATAATTCTCTTTCTTTTTAAAAATGATCAATAATATTAATTATATTAATTTATCATAAATATGTTTATTATGATATAATTTATAAAAAAATTAAAGACAAAGTTAACTATTTTTTTTAGAAAAAATCATTTGGAAGTTACATTTAAAAGAAATTTAAAACTAAACTATAATATTATGTTTATTTAATTTTAAAAAGTTTTTTATAACTTATTTTGTTATATAACATTAATGAAGTTAATAGTGTAATAATCTTTTAAATTTGTAACTTACATAAAATAAAGAAGAAGAAAAAATAGTAATAAAGAATTTCTACCCAAAAATTAAAAATAATAAAATAATTAATTATAAAAAGTAAAAATAAATTTCCATGTATTAAAATATCTTATAATAACTTTATGAGAGTAATAATATATACACACACAATATATATATATATATATATATATATATATATATATATATATATATATATATATATATATATATATATATATATATATATATATATATATATATATATATATATATATATATATATATATATATAATAATAATAATAATAATAATAATTATTATTATTATTATTATTATTATTTTAAGGGTTAATAATCATTTATCCTCCTGCAATATATGTGAGTTTTGATTTATTCCCTTTAAAAAAATTTGATTATCTATGTAATTTTTGGATAACCCTAAATGTGTAAAAATGAGGGTGATAAATCAAAAATATATATTTTATAGAGGATAATATTTACACCTAGGGGACAAAAGACTTAGAATTTTTACATTTTAAAGGATGTATCAAAATTTTTTTTAAAGAGGATAAATCAAAATTCGTCTATATTACAGAGGATAAATGACTATTAACCTTTATTTTAATAATTAATATTATATCAATTATTAAATAATATATTATTTATTATTTAAATTATTACTTATTATTTATATTATTATTGTTGCTATTATTATTATTATTATTATTATTATTATTATTATTATTATTATTATTATTATTATTATTATATTTATAACTATTATTTATTTTATATGTAAGGTCATATTAATAAAATTTGAATTAAAATTTGTGTTTAGATTTACTATTGAATTGATATGTATTTAAGATTGTCATCATGATAATTTTAGATTTATTTGAGATAAACGAGCTAATTCACTGTCGAAGCATGACAAACAACACTAAAGAATTTGAATTCCTACATTAAGAATGTATATGTTTTTTAGATAAGTTAGTGAGTAAGAGAACATCGTGTTTTGATTTTGTTCATTATAATACGAAATAATATTAATAATTGCAGACAAAATTAAATTCTCAAGCCGAGAGTTGCAATTTGTATTTATAATATATAGAAGATTAACCATCAAAATGAAGTCCGAGGGCCTTTCAAGGACACCTAAGAACCGATTCCAAATGTTCAAAGAAATAAAAAGTAATAGAAAGATATGATGAATGTCTTTAAAAGAGTGGTTGATGTTAGTGTCAAGGCAATCTTTAGTGAGGGGAGTAAAATGGTTAGAGAATAAGTCAATAAAAATTGTATTAGTGAATCGAATTGTTATAAATAATAATATAAAGGTAAAATATCTTTTTTGGTCTCATATGTTAACATTAAAGTTTATTTTGATCTTTTAACTTAAAAAATATTCATATTAGTCTCTTAATTCTTCAAAATGCTTCATTTGAGTCTTTTTTGTCTGATTAGCGATGGATTTAGCGACCGACTTCTAAATTTTTTTATCGTTAATTAGACAAAAATGACTTAAATGATGTGTTTTGAAGAGTAACAGGACCAATACGAATCTTTTTTAAGTTAAGGGTCCAAAATAAACCTTGGCATTAACATACATGATCAAAAAGAGTATTTTGCCTAATATAAACTATGACTATTTAAATATACCTAACTTATGCACTAAGTAAGCTAACAAATACTAATTGGGCTTGGGCTTAGGTTACACAACTTGGATAAGGTCTAATATCTCAGCATACCCCTATAATTCAAATTGTCAAACATACTATAAAAATAATCAATTTGAATTATTCCTAATTCTTTCTCAAATTTAGGATTCTGTCGATCTTCAATCCTTTCGTGAAAATATCGGCCAACTGTGTTTCACTTTACCTTTTCCCTCAAGATGTGAAA